CACCCACACACTGCCCTGCCCGTCGGCTGACACCAAGTCAGCTGCTGCTGAAACTGATCAGTGGCTGATTCCAGGAAGCCGGGGGCAAAGCAACTCTGCCTAGGGCTTCCTGTAGTCAGCCGCTGATCAGTTTCAGCAGCGGCTGAATCTGGAGCCAGTTCCGACTTACATACAAATTTAACTTAAGAACAAACCTATAGTCCCTATCTTGTACGTAACCCGGGGACTGCCTGTAATAGCAACAGGATCCCTAAAATCAGACAATACATTAGTGATCAGCTTGGCCAACTGTATTAAACTGTCTAACTGCTGTTAATTACTCATAACAAGTTAATCTAACGATTGGCTTCCAGTGAATATGTGTATATCATAATTGAGATAGAAATAAAAAGAATGCATAAAACAACACAGTAAAGCTGCATCTCTCTGAATTACTATGATTCAGATTCCAAGTTGGGACAGCTTAATTTTAAAAAGGACTTCATACATGAAATTTCAGAAACTAATCTTTAATAAATCTGTAAAATCCATTTATCTATTCTTAATGCTTATGTAAGTTTAGATGTGGCACAATGCTACTCTTTTCTGTACTCACACATATGCTTCAACTCATTCACAAAGATAAAAAGGTAGGTACTGCCTTATTTATATTTCCAACAGTTATCAAGAAAAGAGTGGTGAGAAAGAAAAGCTATTAAGTAAACATATGAGTTATGAATCACAATATTCAGGCAACCCTTGCTCTTTCAAACACTTATTTACATTCTTAAATTGATGTCCCTTTAAAATCATATACACTAGAAACATGAATAAAATTAAAAATGGATATAAATTTTAGAAAGGTCCCATGGTCCTTCTATAGATTCACAGATTCCAAGGACAGAAGAGTTAATTATGAAAATTTAGTCTGTCATCCTTTATAACACAGGCCATGAAATGTCCCCAAAATAATTCCTAAAACATCACTTTTAGAAAAAAACTCCGATCTTGATTTAAAAATTGTCAGTAATGGATAATCCACCATAATCCTTGGTAAATTGTTCCAATGGTTAATTACACTCACTGATAAAAATGTATACCTTATTTCCAGACTGAATGTGTCTAGTTTCAATTTCTAGCCATTGGCTTGTATTATTCCTTTCTCTGCCAGATTGAAGAGCCTATTATTAAATATTTGTTCCACATATAAACACTTTTAGACTGTGATCAAATCACTCCTTAGCTTTCTGTTTGTTAAGCTAAATAAACTGCGCTCCTTGTAGAATAGTAATAGAAATATAGCCGTGTTAGTCTGGTCTAACTGAAACAAAAAATAGGACTATGTAGCTCTTTAAAGACTAACAAGATGGTTTATTAGGTGATGAGCTTTCGTGGGCCAGACCCACTTCCTCAGATCAAATAGCGGAAGAAAATTGGCATGACCATATATACCAAAGGATACAATAAAAAAAAATGAACACACATGAAAAGGACAAATCAAATTTCAGAACAGAAGGGGGATGAGGGGTGGAGGTAAATGTCTGTGAGCTAATGATATTAGAGGTGATAATTGGGGAAGCTATCTTTGTAATGGGTAAGATAATTAGCATCCTTATTAAGACCTAGGTGTAAAGTGTCAAATTTAAGCATGAATTACAGTTCAGAAGATTCTCTTTCAAGTCTGGTACTGAAATGTCTTTGAAGCAGGATGCAGATAGTTAAGTCCTTTAGACAATGCTCTTTCTGGTTGAAATGGCAAGAAACTTTTTTCTTTGTGATCCTGTTTAATATCTGTTTTGTGTGCACTGATTCTTTGGTGAAGTGTTTCACGAGGCATAAGGGAGTGGTCGACAGGCTTCCCTTGTCAACTGATCCGCATCTAGACTGCTGCACTGTGCCAGATCAGCTGATTGTCAGCACAGCACGGTGGCCATTTTTATTTTAATGAAGCGAGGATTATTTAAATTCCCGCTTCATTGACTATGTCGGGTAAACTAGTTTACATGGCTCCGTTGACAGAGCCATGTAGTCTAAACATACTCCTTGAGTCTATTGCTATAAGGCATGTTTCTCATCCTTTTAATCATTCATTCTCTTGCCTCTTTTCTGAACCTTCCACAATTTATGACATCCTCTTGAATTGTGGAAACCAGAACTTAGCATTTTATCACAGCAGTGGTCATGAACATCAACCCTTTTCATAGACTGATATCAGAAAAGTTTTCTTATTTCTGGAATGGATATGGTATTGCAGATGTTTTCAGTGGTATACAATCTTTTCAAGAAAAGAACAGCTATCAAGTAAAATAAAGCATTCAGTGTTACCCCATTTTTGTTTCCCATAAAAAGTAGTGATTTTTCCCAAACTTCCACTCCATCTCCATCGCTTTCAAGATTTTCTTTCTTTTCCACTTCAGCTTTAGCAATATCCCACAGAGTATCACTAGTAGAGAAAACAAAATAAGATGTTTTCATAGAAAATACTCTTTTCCTGGACCTATACAATATTTCCTAACTAAGGTTTGAAAGGCAATGTGAAGATTTTTAATACTACAGGCAGTCCCCGGGTTACATGGATCCGACTTACATTGGATCCCTACTTACAAACGGGGTGAGGCAACCCCGCACTAGCTGCTTCCCCCCAGCAGACCAGGGAGACGCGGAGCGGCTTTTCTCAGCACACACCTCAGCTTGAGAATAAAGGACTGAGGGAAGTGAGGTGTGGGAGAATAAAACTGAGCTCTGGAGAAATGTTTGGCTAGAGTTTCCCCTACAATATGTACCAGTTCCGACTTACATACAAATTCAACTTAAGAACAAACCTACAGTCCCTATCTTGTACATAACCCAGGGACTGCCTGTACATTTTCTCTGCAAATGTCCTTGATCAGAACTAGCTATGTGCTTTAGTAAGGAAACTTCCCTTAGATATCACAAATAAATATGTGGAGCAGACAGGCATGATAGCTTATTCTAGACCAGCAAAATCTCATAGCTTTAGCAGATAAACTCCTTCGTTTTGGGAGCAATTTTAAGACAGTTTAATGTTACTTCCAATGTCACTGTATGTAACTTCACAAAGGGCAGTGAAGGGCAACTTGCAACCCATGGGCCATATGCAGCTAATCAGGGTTCCATATGCAGCGCACGCAACCCCTCTCTCACCTCTTAGCTTCACTCTTCTTGCACACTGAGGGCCCTGCACTTACCTGCTCCTCCCCCAGCCTCCCAGCACTTCTGGAATGCCATGAATCAACTGATTCATGCCCTATTCTAGGGATGTTAGCAATCAGGTAATTGAATAGTCATGTAATTGCATGCAATTTTAGCAGTTACAGGACTATTCCATAGTCTGTGGGGGCGGGGCCAGCAGCCAGTGTGTTCCTGGCCCCACTCCGCGGGAGCCCCCTCCTACCATGCGCTGCTTCATCTGTATCAGTTTAAAAGCCAGCTCCCCTCACAGAACGGCTGCCAACAGCCCAGTGCTGCTGCCTCTGATAAAGAGGTAGCAGCCCGAGGTGACAGCAGCCCCTGTCTGTGGGGAGTCTGAGCTCCCCATGGACAGAGGCTGCTCTGTGGGATGTGGAGCAGCCTCTATCCACAGGGAGCTCAGACCCCGTGCAGACAGGGGCTGCTCTGTGAGGCAGCCTCTGTCCACTGAGGGCCCACGCTCGCCATGGATAGAGGCTGCTTTGCATCCCACAGAACAGTCTCTGTCAGCAGAGAGCTTGGGCAAGCTGTGGACAGAGGATGCTTTGCGGCAGCCTCCCCTGTGCTGCTGCCTCTAATAGCATGGAGGGGCAGGCAGCACCGTGGAGCTGGTGCTGGGGGGAAAATGACTTTTAAGAGGGCTGAAAGGCAGCAGCATGGGAGTGGGTGGGGGAGGGGTCAGGGAAAGTAGTCAACAAGATTAACCAATAAGCCTAGGTTTATTGGTTAATCATAGTCAACTACACATTGACATCCCTACCCCATCCTTGCTCTATTGCCTCTCTCCCAGAGTTTGACCACCAAGAATCAGATTTGTGGCATTCAAGCTCTGAGAGGGAGCAAGAGGAGAGGAGATGTTCCTGGTGCTCCAGAAGTGTTGGAAGGAAGGGGGAAGAGCAGGGATGGGACCGGTTTGGGAGAGAAGGCAGGGAAGAGGCCGGACAGAGATTTGATATTGTAAAGTTTAAATGTTTCTTTTTTATTATTTGAAATTGATGACAGTGCTATTAATATATGAATGGTTAAAGCATTTATACTTGTTTTGAAATACTCAGCATGTCATGTATTCATATATTTAATCTTATGCTTAGAATCATGGTTAGTACACGACTGATTTCAATCTTGCAGCCCACTAAGATGAAGGACAGCCACTCATGCAGACCACTCACTAGCCCATCGCTGACATGGGGTATGGCTACCAAGCAAAAGTTGTGCAAAGGGATGTCTACCTACATCAGCATGAATCAAGCTAATGTGAAAAATTGGGATGCAAAGGGTCAACCGATTAACCACTTATCCAGTAAGCAACATCCCTAGCGGGTGTTGCTTACTGGGTAAGCAGTTAACCATCCACCTGGCAGAAGTGAAGCAGCTCCTGTCTCCCTTTTTAAAAGGGATTTTACATCCCTAATGGAAAACAACAGTGGTGAAGGCAGTGCAACATAGGTAGTGTAAGCCCAGAATGGATCCTAATATACATACTCATTAGCCCCGTGGTCCCCAACATGGCGCCCGCGGGGGCACTTGCATGCGCCCGCCAGGTGCTCGGGGCTGGCCTGGCCCCGGGCACATGGCGCGGCGCTTGCGGGGAGCGTCGGCCCCGGGCGCGTGGCTATGGGGGGGCCCTGGCCCCGGGCATGCGGCTATGGGGAGGGGCCGCCCCCAGGCATGTGGCTATGGGGGGGGCACCCCCGGGCGCGCAAGTGTCCCCGCCCCCTGGCGCCTGGTGGGCGAACAGCCACGCCCCCTGGCACCCACAACCTCAAAAGGTTGGGGACCACTGAGCTAGATAGATTCATGGAGGTTAGGTCCATCAATGGCTATTAGCCAGGATGGGTAGGAATGGTGTCCCTACTCTCTGTTAGTCTGGAAATGGATGATTAGCCCACTGTGAAGCCTATGCTGCACAGTTCTCACTATTAGTACTACCTGTACTAGCTGGGTTCACGCTAACTCCAGAAGCTAGCCTGGGCAGACCTAACCCTATACTAAAGAACTAAGGGCTCTTTCAAAAGCAGCTGTCGTTATCGCTCTGTATCTAATGCGGAAAGTTGCGTTTTTCTTAAAATCTTGGAAGGTATTTTAGCAACTCCTACCACAAGTATGAAGAGTGGGGTCCCGGCCCTATCGCATGGATCCTTTGTATGGAAGCTGGCAGCAAAAGGCAATGACGACAGTGACCTCTCTGAGGCCTACATTTTCAAAAGATGCCTGAGTGGCTACTGGAACCTGGCCTAAAGCAGCTTGCCTGTGGCGCACACTGGGGATGAGAGGCGTTAAATCCTGGTTGACTGGGGTTTACTAGCGTTTGGGCAGTTAACCGACTGAAGAGGAATCCTAGGCTGGGGACCGCTCCAGCTCAGCAGCCCCTGCCTGCGGCGGGCCACGGCTCCCTGTGGAC